AGGCCTGTGCTTTCTCCTCTGTGTCTGGGAAGCTTGACTTGTAATTGAATGACAGATTATGACCTGTACACAGATGAATTACCTTTCCTTTCTACCTCTAAAGATAAGATCTTTTTCTATAGTTGTCCTGAGCAATTTCTTTCACACTTTTTCCTTCACTAAGTTTTCTACCACTGCTTATTAAATGTTTAATATGTATTTACGGTGCTTCACTTAATAGTTTACGTTAGACAAATCTAGTTATGATATGAAGAAATTTTAGCTACAGGAAGATACTAGATAATCCTTCTACTCCTTTCCATTTCAGGAAACCTGTCTTCACAGTTGCTGGCTCAGGAACCTAGGAGTTCTGAAAATACATTAACTTCAGTGGAAGATTCTGGGTGTGATTTGTCACATGAGCAGAGAACTGAATCCTCAGAGCTGTCCCAGCCTTTCGTGGAGAGCTGTACCCCCACACCCTTCCCACCACTGCCTCTTGTGAAAAGACCCTGTGCTACCCCGGAAAATCCTCTGTCTTCTCACATGCAGTTTTTACAACATCTGCTTGAGCTGAAGAACTTGACAGAATCAGGCAGTCTGAGAACAGACTTCACCTGTTTTGAGAAAGACTCGTCCACGGTCTCTGATTCTGTTTTCCAGTTGCTGAATGGCCTGATCCATTTTTACCATAATCCCAAACCTCCTTTTTCAAGCTTTTGGACAGAAGCTGTTGATATTGTAGCTAGACTGATCAGTGATTATAACTTATCTAATCATATTCTTAAAAAATGTTCCAAGAAGTTGGAAGAATTTGAGAAAATTCTACTACAGGTTATTTTAGGGAACAACAATATAAATCGGGTAAGTAATAACTTTCTCCTATTCGTGAAGTAAGATGTCAGTAGTTTAGTGAGCAGTTCACTGTGGATGATGTCTGCTGTTGTCCCTTAGCTCTGTGGTGGAAGGTCTCCAGGGTGCCTTCTTCTATAGCAGTCCCCAGCTCCTGCCTGTTGTCCCGGCTCTGCCTCTGGCCTGTGATTGCTGCAGCTTAATCTTCTCCTCAGATGTCACTGATTCAAACTTAGCTTCTCTGCTTTGCATTACTTTCCCTGTTGTTGTTGGGTTTTTTTATCAGTACTTTTAGACACTTCTTACATTTTCCCTCCCTGTGTTTTCTTCCTATGGCTCAAAAAGTCTCAGTGCTTTGCAGAAACTACTAACATTTAAGGTTTTCCAAACTATAACCTATGCAAGTGTTAAATTCCTCATGTTGGATGACCCATGCTATGTTGAATTTGCTCTTTTTTCTGGCATTAACTAGCAGATGACCTGGGGTCAAAGAATATTTTTCTTTTGTGTTGGACTTTCTTTTGTAAATGGCAAATGTCTCATGAACCTTCTACAGATGTGAGTTAATTGAAAAAAAAAAATCAGCTAAGGAACACATAGTATAACGTTTTATTATATTTTCCCCATATTTATTTAACACGATCTAGACAAGTTGACTCAGATTCTTTTTTAACAAGTGACATTGAAGTAACTTGAAATAGTTTTGTTTGATTCTCAAGACATGATAGGCAGTTTCTTTTTCATATTCCTTTCTTTCTTCTTTACTATCTGAATGCCTTGACATTTTAATTCTTTATATTTGACCACTGAAAATATCACAGAGGGGTCGAAGTGGTCTAACTCATTCATTATATTTCCCTGTATAAAAAAGTAATTGGACTTTGTTTCCAATTACTTGGTTACTAATTTCTAGATTTTTCTCCTCAGTGCCATGACCTAACATTGATTGTTTTTATATATTGGAGGCTTTATCTGAATTTTCAAAACTCTGATAAAATTTGAACTGATAAACTAATTTGTTGCACATACATCTCCTCTTTCCTTCTCTAGTAAGGTATGATTTGATCTATATTTTAGAAAACCTTATGATTAAGTTTTTGGCATTTGCAAAAGATATTGAACTTTCTGCCTGGGAAATTGAAATCTTTTTCTGCTAAATGTGGCAAATCATAAATTAAACAACATATTTTCTATGGTTGTTTCTGACATAAAAGGTCTGTTTCTTAACCATCAATACCTCAACTGCCTAATATTTTTTAATCATTTTGTTTGTATATTTTTGCTTTCATCTTTTAAAACCACTTCAAACAGGCTTAATGTGACTTGGAACTTTGCAGACAATGGCTTTCATGTCCCTCATCAGAGTTACCAGATGATGCTACTTGGTCTTTGGCAGTATATTCTTTTCCTAATTCGGTATTGGAGGGTAATACGTAAGACTAGCCCTGGGAACTGTGTGGAAGTAGGAGAATGTGTACAGGGAACTTGTGGTGGTCTAGGCAGTTCCCACATGTGTATTTTCTCTGTCGTTTGCCATGGTGCCAGCTACTGATGAGTAGTAGTTGGTTAGTGTGGAAGGAGGAGGGAGTGAGTGGCTTCTTTAGAGAGGTAATGGCTTCACACAAAGCAGAGCATAATTGTTTTCACTACATTTACAATTAGGGTGGTAATTCAGAAACACATTTTAATGGCATTCTTTCTGGGGCTTTGTTTTTCCTCCCCAGCAAAACATCTTGGACTAAATCAAATTTTTGCCATTATTGTCTCCATCATCATTACCGTTTTTACCCTCATTGTTGTCATTACTCAGATATAATCATAGAACTGTATTTTTTATGGGGAAAATACACTAGCTATTTCTCTTTATAAGAGCTTCCCTGTCTCTTTTAGATTTCCTCAAAGTAAAATCTTAAAGAATATATTCTGACACAAAATACTAAATAACTCTTATTGAATATTTTGTTGATACTAAACTTGATAGGGTAAAACAATATACTGTAGTTAAGAAAAACTTCACTTCTTCCAAAAAACTTTTTTTCCATAGATTGAAAGGATTTAATTAAATTTTATTTCTTAAACTTCAGCCTTACTATAAATTTCATTCAAGTGAACTTATTTAGAGCAGTTTGGAGGGAAATGGTATGGTATTTGTGTTTTTATATTCTGACAAAGGGACTTTTCCTATGTCCAATCCATGTATAGCTGGGTTTTAAAGGTAGTGCACTCTTCAAAAACAAGTTCTCAATAGCTTCAGTTGTGAAATTCTTCTGATGAGGTTTAGTTTTTTTTTTTTAAAGAAAAACTTTTAATAATAACTTGGAATCTTTTGAAATCCTGAGGTCATCATAGAGAGTATCTCTTGTCAAAGCTGTCTATATATATGGAGAGGATAGGTATTTGAAATGGTCCCCTCAAAGATTTCTACATCCGAATCCCTGGAACCTGTGAGTATGTTATGTTGCATGACCAGGGGGAGATTAAGGTTGCTGATCACATGACCTTGGTTTGGTAAGATCATCCTGGACTATTCTTATAGGCCCAGTAAATTCAAAAAGATGCTTAGAAGGGAAACAGGAAACGAGAGAGTCAGTGTCCAAATCAGAGAGAAACCTGGAGATCTTGCAATGTTGGCTATGAAGGTAGAAGAAGGGAAGTTTTCTTGGGTTTTTTTTTTTTGAGACAGCATCTCACTTTATCACCCTCAGTAGAGTGCTGTGGCGTCACAGCTCACAGCAACCTCCAGCTCTTGGGCTTACTTAGGCCATTCTCTTGCCTCAGCCTCCAAAGTAGCTGGGATCACAGGTATCTGCCATAACACCCGGCTATTTTTTGTTGCAGTTTGGCCGGGGCCGGGTTTGAACCTGCCACCCTCAGTATATGGGCTGGCACCCTACTTACTGAGCCACAGGCACCCCCAAAAGAAGGGAATTCTTACAGTTTCAGGTGTTCGGTTCAAGTATTTTAACCATCTGAATTATCCTATTTCAGTCTTTTATATGTAGCTACCTAGTTTTCCCAGCACCATTTATGGAGTATTCATTTTCCCCAGTGTATGAGGTTGGACAATTAAGTTCCTAAAAGAAGAGGTACATACCTCATTGCTAAATCTCACTATGCTTGGACAGTTGTGGTGGCTTATGCCTATAATCCTAGTACTCTGGGAGGCCAAGGCAGGTGGATTTCTTGAGTTCATGTGTTTGAGACCAGCCTGAGCAAAAGAGAGACCCTATCTCTACTAAAAATAGAAAACCTAAGGCAAGAGGATTACTTGAGCCAAAGAGTTGGAGGTTGCTGTGAGCTATGATGCCATGGCACTCTATCCAGGGCAATAGCTTGAGACTCTTTCTCAAAAAAAATACATAAATATCACTGTAGTCACCTTTAATGTACTCCTCTTGGGAAACTGTGTGGTCCGCCCTTGATACCGGTTTGGAACTCTGTGTCTGGAATGGTCATCAGAGATGTCATAGAGTCTGACAGTTGAGTTTGTGAGCTCATCCTAGAAAGGAGTGATGTGCCTCCTTGTGGAATGTCACTGTGGTCACCAGATGACCAGCAGAAGTATGTGGGACAGTTTCTCTTCTGTCACTTATTTAGGTCTAAAGAGTCTATCTTTAGATAGACCTAAATCTATCCAACTTTTTTTACCTTGCCAATTTGTTTCAAATGGTCCAGTACTATTGGAATAGTAGTTTCAGACCTTGTTGCTAATTCAGGTGCAGGTTGAGATGGATTCATTTCCACTACAGTTTTCAGCTCGTCTTTATCCACCTTGCCTCAAGTTGCCCACGTGGTTCACTTTCAAGATTAAAAACACCAGAATGGAACTTCTCAAATCACTGATGTACTGTGCACATACTTTTTGATAAAATGACTTTTTTTCTTCTTTGGGTAAATACCCAAAGTGGGATTGCTGGATCAAATGGCAAGTCTACTTGTAGTTCCTTGAGGTATCTCCATGTGACTGTCTACAGAGGTTGTGCTGATTTGCAGTCCCACCCACAGTGTGTAAGTGTTTTTTCTGTCTGCATCCATGCCAGCATGTTATTTTGGAACTTTTTGATAAAAGCCGTTCTCACTGGAGTTAGGTGAGATCTCTAGATATTAATATACACATTAAATTTTGAGAAATATTGCATTAAAAGATTTTTTTCTAAGTCTTTGCTCATCATGGGTCTACATTTTTGTGCTCTTACTCTGTGCTTCACGTGAGTTATTTCGTGTAAAATGCCCAGGAAAGGCATTTTATTGTCCCTGTTTTATAGGTGGGAAAACCGAGGCATAAAGAGGTGAGATGACTTTCTCCATAGCCCAGCTAAGCATTCCTCGCTCTAACTCTGGAAGGCTTACTTCGAGGCGAGGCTCTGTTCTGAAGGCAGTTGCTGCCTTCCCAAAGATATAGTGTCCTCACCGCCAGCCTTCCAGCCCCCAGTAGCCCAGGGCACGACACTCTACCTGTGTCTTTTCTCTAAGCTCCCAGCATGCTGTCTTCCCCTCACCCTGATGCACTGTGTCCTTGGTAAGAATATTCACCTCTCTGCCCCAACTCTGACATGGTTGCCCACAGGTTTTAGTGTCACTTGTGTGGATTGAGGGTCTGTCGGGTGTCCACTCTGAGGAGGCACACATCCTTGGGACTCAGAACGTAGAGAGAAAAGGGAATGCTGTGAGCGTAGCCTGAATTCAGTTATTTAGAATATTTGGTAGGAAACGAAAGTCAAGCTTTTGGTTAGGATTAAAGTGGAAATGAAAGAAGGAGGAGAATCTGAGTCCTTTTTGGTAAGGCACCGTACAACAATGAAAGTGTAACAGGTAAACATTCACTATGAGCCTCAAA